GTCTGTCTCTAAGTGTGGCCCTGCGATGGACTGGCGACCTGTCCAGGGTGTCCCCTGCCTTCGCCCTGAGTCAGCTGGGATAGGCTCCAGCCCCCCCGCGACCCTAATGAGGATTAAGCGGTGTATAGAAAATGGATGGATAATAACGGGTGTCTTGGAGATCTTCAGTTTTTTCGCTACCTGTCTCTCACTCATGCCAATTTCCAGGTGTACAGAAGATGGCTGCCTTTGTGGCTTCACATAATTCTTTTGTTTTGGGCATTATGTGAAAGCTGACAACTTCTGAATTGTGCTACAGCTTGAATGTAAGCAGGAAACCACTCTAGGCCTTTGCATGTGCAGTGCTGCTTATGACATGAAATGGCCTCTTATATAACCTGGGAATACAGTTAAGCTTAAGCATGTTAAATAGGACACAAAGTAATATGTAATCAGCTGCATTTTTTGTCGTATTCATTGTATTCTTCAGGTAATATACCTTTAGTGGTACCAAGCATAAAAATGAACAAGAAATGTAAGAAAACAAGAGTGGTCAATGTTTTTTTCCATGACTGTTTGTGTCCTCCACCTTTTAAAGGGACCAAAAGTAACTGGACAAACTGATATGATCATAAATCAAATTGTCACTTTTAATATTTGGTTACAAATCCTTTGCAGTCAATTACAGCCTGAAGTCTCAAACCCATGGATATCACCAGACGTCAGGTTTCGTCCCTGGTGATGCGCAGCCAGGCTGGTACTGCTGCTGTCTTTAGTTTCTGCTCGTTCTTGGGGCATTTTCCCTTCAGTTTTGTCTTCAGCAACTGAAATGTATGTTTAGTTGGATTCAGGTCTGGTGATTGACTTGGCTGTTGCATAACAGTCCACTTCTTTGCCTTAAAAAAACGCTTTGTTTACTTTGGCAGTATGCCACAGGTCATTGTCCATCTGTACCGTGAAGCACCGTTCAATTAGTTCTGAAGCATTTGGCTGAATGTGAGCAGATAATATTGCCTGAAACACTTCAGAATTCATCTTGCTGCTTTTGTCAGCAGTCAATCATCAATGAATATAAGAGAACCAGTTCCACTGGCAGCCATACATGCCCACGCTATTACACTATCACCACCATGCTAAACTGATGAGGTGGTATGCTTTGGCACTTGAGCAGTTTCTTCCCTATTCCATATTCTTCCCATCATTCTGGTACAAGCTGATGTTTGTCTCATCTGTCCTTAGGATGTTATTCCAAACTGCACAGATCTTTTTATATGTTTTTTGGTAAACTCTAATCTTCCTGTTTTTGAGGCTCATCAATAGTTTACACCTTGTGGTGAACACTCTGTATTCACTCTGGTGACGTCTTCTGTTAATTGTTGACTTTGACACAGATACCTCAGTCTGTCACCAGTGTGTTCTTTTTTTTTTTTTTTTTAAAGAATGTACCAAACACTTGATTTGGCCGCATCTAATGTTTTAATCTCTCTGACGGGTTTGTTTAGATTTTTCAGCCTAATGATGGCTTGCTTCACTGATAGTGACAGCTCTTTGGACTTCATATTGAGAGTTGATCTCATCAGACTCCAAACACAAATACCACACTTGAAATGAACTTTAGACCTTTTATCTGCTCCTTGTAAATGAAACAATGAGGAAACAGCACACACCTGGCCATGGAACAACTGAGCAGTTACTTCAAATTAAATCAGAAAGTCTGCACTTAAACCACATCTGGATTGTTTCATTTTAAATCCATTGTGGTGGTGTACAGAGCCAAAATGCTGGAAATTGTGCCAGTGTCTAAATATTTATGGACCTGACTGTATTTGCAGTGACAAGTGTTGTAACTGGAAGTTGTGACCTTTGATTTCAGTAACTTACAAATCCTAAACAAAGAAATACACAGTAAAACCAGTGATATTATACACAAAGCATTTATTAACTACTGCTGACAATGAGATGTAACAAACAACAAACAGTGAATGAATGAACACAGCTAAGCTAACAAATTGAATAACAGTGATTGTCACTGGGAACAGTTGGTGGAACGGTGATCAATTTGGAATCATGCAACAATTGAGAAGCCAATTGTAATGTCCAAATTCACCCATGTAGCAGAAAGAAAGTGATACTTGCATATCAATGCAACGTGCAACATCAGGAGGAGAGAGAGCTGCAGCAGAATGTGATGACTTGGTTTAGGAATGCAAAGACAGTGACAGAGAAGTGGGCTGTTTGTCTGGTGTGTGATGCCCTCCACAAATGCTTCAGATGTGAGGTGTTTAATTTACCTGAATTATTGAGTCCAGATTTTGGAGTTACTTAATTTTGCGTTTTCAAACTGATTAGTTTACTAAAGAAAGGTCTGGGTGTTAGGAGGAGAAGAAGGTCAGGAGGTTACAGTAAAGAATGCAATCTCCTGAAGCCTGCAACCAATGTTGGTTCTTTTCTAAGGTCAGAGATGTCTTGTTGCCCCCAAGAAGGCTGTAAATGCTCATTCTGTACTGAAAGT